ATCACAAACATGTACACAGTTGAGTTGGATAAGGCGCTGGGTTGTTTCTCACAGAGGCAAGGGTTCAAATCCCTCCATGCGCAACAAGGAGAATTTTCAGCATTTTTCATGTATTTTTCTTCTTGCCTTAAGTTTATTACAATAAAGGGAAGGAAAAAAAAAGACAGAAACTTGCGTGTGTTTTTTGTTAAAAACACTCCAAGTGAAACGACGTCGTTTCACTTTAAGTTTTTTTTTAAAACCCTTCAATCAAAACGACGTCGTTTCATTACAATAAACCTAAAAAAAAAATTACACGCGAGTTGTCTTCCTCGCAGAGCCGCAGCCAATTTGCAGTCTCAAAATTTCTTCCGGTTCAAGTCCAGATCTGTCACGCCTTGGTCCGCCTCGCTCCGCCTTGCACGAAAATATCGATCCCGATATCGCCGATATTTTCGATAATACTGAGATAATATCACCATTTCAGGTTGGATTGTCACGATAATATCGCTGTCGATATTTTCGGCGATATTTTCGACATTCTGACGAAATCCAATTGGTTGGTGTTCAAAATATCGCAGCTCTAAAAATCCGATATTTTCGCCGATATTTCGGCGATAATATCGATTTTTCAGACCTTGGTCCACGTAGATTTCCATAGTTTTGCCGATCTGTTCTTTGAAGATTTTATTCACGAGCCTTTGGTAGGTTGCTCCAGATTTCTTTAGCCCAAAGGGCATAACCTTGTAGCAGTAGGTCCCTCTCTTGATTATGAAAAAGGTTTTCGCCTTGTCATCCTCGTGCATCAGGATTTGATTATAGCCGAAGTAGGCGTCTATGAAGCTGAGCAGCTGATTGTCGGAGGTGGAATCCACGAGTTGCTCGATTCTCGGCAATGGGAAGTTGTCTTCAGGGCATGCTTTGTTGAGGTCGGTGTAATCGACGCAAACTCTCCACTTGCCCTTTTCTTGTTTTGCTACCAGAATAACATTGGCCAGCTATTCTGAGTAGGAGACTTCTTCGATGAAGCCAACAGCTAGGAGTTTGTCAATCTCGGCTTCAATGGTCGCGACCCGCTCAGGAGTGAAGCTACATCTCTTCTGCACTACTGGCTTGATGGCAGGGTTGATGTGAAGTCAATGGCAGATGATCTTTGGGTCAATGCCGGGCATGTCAGACGGTGACCATGCAAACGTGTCTTTGTTATTCTGGAGGAAGGTGGTCAGCTCCACCTTTTCGTTTAGGCTTAGGCGTGAGCCGATCCAAGCTCTTTTGTCTAGCTAATCAGGATCCAAGGGTATTAGCTCCACGTCCTCTTCGGGTTTACATCCTTCTTCAGGAGAGACCACTGGGCAGATTTCCTTGGCTTGGTCATGTCGCTTTAATTGCTATAAGGGAGCGAGATTCGGTTGTTCAACTTCCTTCATATCTGCCTGACTTACAGGGAAGAATTGCATTTGCTTGCTTTTTTTTTAGCCCTTGGGCCCAGCATTTCCTCACCATTGCCTGATCGCTGTTGATTTGACCGACACCGCCCCCAAGGATTGGGTAGCGGATTTTCTGATGTGTGGCAGAGGTGATGGCGTTGATCTTGCCAATCCATGGTCTGCCCAGAATGCCGTTGTATGGTGAGACCTCATTAATGACCATGAACGTTTGCGAGCTGATTACAGGTGGGGAGTAGACGTCGAGGTCTATCGTGCCCATGGTAACCATTGTTGCACCATTAAAGTCGGTCAGTGATCTGGCTGATTTGTTGATCTTCGCTTCCAAGCCCATCTACTGGATGACTGCCAGCTGCAGGATATTAGCTGCACTGCCGTAGTCTACATGGATTCGGTCGACCATGGCCTAAGCAATTTGAATGCTGATGACAAGGGCGTCGTTATGTAGCATGTCGAGGGCGATAAGGTCTTTCTTCTGGAAGCCGATCACAGGGTCGTCTTCCCCTAGTGGAAGGTCGGTCGTGATTTGGGAGATCACAGTGGCATGTTTGATCTTCCTCTTCTTTTCTTTGCTGGTCAGCCCAGACTCCTCAGAGTCGACTAGGGTTGTGTTAATCCTTATGACCTTCTGAGGTGGCTCCTTGGCGGTGTCATGATCTTCAATCTGCTGGATGGCTTGCTTCGCAATGAATTCCATGCAGTGACCTTCTCTCACGAGTTCTTCAAGGTGTGCCTTCCAAACAAAGCAGTTGTTTGTAGTGTGCCCGTTCGTCCCATGGAAGGCACAGTATTTTCTTGTATCCCTCTTGTCCGGATCTCTCTTCAAGGGTGGCAGTCTTCTTACCCATTGTTTGTCTTTCACTTGGGCTAAGATTTGATGTATGGGGATGGAGAACTTGGTGTAGTTCTCGCCTGCCGGAGTGTCCTCTTGTGGGTGTGACCTGCGCTTGTCCTGGTTCCTGTTGCCAAACCCGTCGCTTCTTTGGCCTGCCCGCTTGGTCGGCTAATCTTCCTGCTTAGTAGACTTCTTCGCGGCGATTCGATCATCATCCCAGAGCGCATAGCGTTCCGCGGTCGTGAAGACCTCTACCAGAGTCTGGCTGGGAGCAATAGTCAGCTCGCAGTATAAGTTGTGTTTAGCAGGAAGGCCTTTCTTGAAAGCAGAGGACGCGATCCGATCGTCGCATCCTACAATATTGGCCTTTTCCGCTTTGAATCTCTTCATGTAGTCTCGAAGGGATTCACCGGACTTCTTGCATAGGTTGTATAGGTGATCAGGGTTCTTCTTGATCATCCGATAAGAGGTGTACTCTTTGGTGAAGACGTAAGCCAGCTCCTTGAAGTTGCTGATCGACCCGGATGGTAGAGTGTGGAACAAGTCTTGGGCTGCTCATCGCAAGGTCATTACAAATACCTTGCACATCAACGCGTCGTCGGCCTTGTGGAGGATCATGACACTTTTGAAGTATTTTAGGTGGCTTTCAGGATCGGAGTCCCCTTTGAAGTGGGTAAACGAAGGTGTTGAGAATCGCTTCGGGGGAGCAGCCTGCTCAATTTTGGCAGTGAAAGGCGTAGAGTTTGCCTGGTCTATCTCCTTGAGTAGTGCATCTGCGAAGTTCCCGCCGGTCTTCAAGTCTCGAAGTCGGTCATTCACAAGCTTCTCCACGTCTTCCGCACACATTGCTGGTTGGCCTTGCTGGTGACCTTCGCGATTTGGGCGACGCTGATTGACCTCCTCGTTGATTCTCAAGGTTCTACCTTCTCGGCTGCGCTTCCTAGGCGGCATGTTTGTGGACTGCACTTGAGAAGGATTTTTCGTAGCTTGTGGACGAGAATCGACTCTTCAAGAGTGAGCAGCGGAGCGCCTTTCCTCATGATCCACATTGCGATGGTTGTCAGGTTGACGTCCCTGAGAGCCTAGCCTTTCGTGAATGTTCCTCTGCGAGTGGGCAGCGGAGCGCCTTTCTTCACGATCTACAATGTGATGGTTGCTAGGTTGACGTCCCTGGGAGCCTAGCCTTTGAAGAACATTTCCCTGTGGGCCCAGGCGGGCGCGGATGTCAAGTCGTGGGCCCAGCCTTTCACGCACGTTGCTCTGAGTGTGGCTTGCGAACGCTTGTGACATGTTGGCAAGCTGATCACGTTGTTGTCCTTCTCCTTGTCTGCTTACTCCTGCTCGACCTGCTTGATACCCATCGAGTTACCTATCGGCGCGTTCGTCCATCCTTCTCTCTTCGCCTAGTTGTCCATGGCCAAGGTTTTGAGCCAAATTTATTTGGTTGAGGAGCTGCCTCATCAAATTGCTTTAGTCGTCCATTCTCTGAACTAGCTGGTCAACTCTCAAATTAAGATCTGCTTGACCTCATGGATCGGGAGGAGAGAAGTGTGTGGAGCCCAACTGCATATGGGCTAGGGTTTCATGGGAGGTGTACGCGGGAGCGTGCGTCGAGCGTGGAGGCAATGGAGGGAATGCTTGAAGTTGTTCCAAGATCGGGCCCAAGTCAGCAGCGGCAATGAGCCCACCTTGATGGGAGGTTCCACCATGCTCGGCGGTGGCACCATGAAGGTGGCTAGATCCGGCCACGGGGTCTTGGGTTGACATGGCGACGGCGGTGGTCTCAACTGCAAGTCCGGTAGGTGGCACGGTAGTGAGCGGTGGTGGTGCAACCATGTCGATCGCGGGATCCTGGGTGGAGTGGCTTTGGGCAGTCGTGGATCGAACCATCGCGGCGGTTTTGCCCCGCGTCTTCTTGCTTCCAACCATGGTTGTTTGTAAGGCTTCGGTGGATTGAAAATTGGTTTGGAGCATGCTTTGAGTATTATTTCGCGCTCTCAATGAAAGCACCAATTTGTGGGAGCAAATTTTCCCACGAGAATATTCAATTGGAAAGATTCCCCTTTCTTCTTCGCCGCCTCTTTCTCCTTGCAAAATAAATCGGATAAGAGGACCACACCCGGGGGGTGTTGGCCGAAGGCCCTCTGATGCCTAAGTTAGTTCAATTGATTTAGGGAAAAACCAATAGCTAAATAGGGTACGGAGATATATATGTAAGGTGTAAACTGGGTGGCCGGAGCCTTATGTAAAAAAGAGAGAAAGAGAGAGAGAGAGAGAGAGAGAGAGAGAGAGAGGAGGTGGCTAGGGTTTGTGAGGGGAAAATTTATGCAGAGTTTTAGTAGTAATTCTGACGTACCTTAATTGGTGAGGTTGGTGAGGTTGGTGTATTTAGGGATTTGATTTATTATGGATTTAAATCAAATCCCTAATTGTGGTAGGTATCCAATCAATTCCCAATTTGATTAGGTAACTCCTCATTTAATTGGGAAATGGGGTAGGAATCAAATCAATTTTCAACTTAATTAGGTAACTCTCAATTTAATTGGATAACACCCAATTAAATTGAGTAACTGCCAATTAGGTTGAATAATTCCCATTTAGGTCAAATAATTCCCAAATGGAAGGAATTATTTGACCTAGGGTTTTGATTTAATTTGGTTCCCACAATAATTGTCTCAACTCCCTGTTTCTAATTCGATGCTTTGTTAATGTCTACTCAATCTGACTTGGGTGACCTTCCTGCAGCTTCGAGGTTTTGAGTTGTTAAAAGCAGTTCACTTGGAACCAAATCCCTTTGACATGGAGAGGGATCTTATAACTCCAACATTCAAACTGAAGAGACCACACCTACTTAAATATTACAAGGTATGCCTTCTGCTTTCTCTTTCTATATATTGTCTTAAATCTCCTCACTGTAACTGTGCGACTTCCTTTTCAAGCACCCGGTAGGCCTTCAGTTTGCCACTCGCTTAATATCCTTTCCCCACCCTTGCGGCTGTGACCTTGCATTATTTCTTAAAAGAAATTATATATATACTAAAACCCAATCCAACTAAACACTGTAGCTAAGCACAGTGAAATGACGAAACTGCCCTATCTTTTTACTGTTTTGCAAACTCATTTTTCTCATCAGCACAGTGAAATCACGGTTTTACCCTTGATTAATTAGTTTCTGCTCTTCCCCGTTTTGCCCCCCCCTCTCCTTCGATTGTAACGACTTGGAGCCTTCATTCTATCAGATGCTGAGTTCGCTTCTAACCAGGTTGGTTGGCCTGGTTGCGGGGCAATGATGGAAGATGCCGGTCTACTGTTGGAGATTATCTGAAGGCTTCGATTTTTATAGGAGTGGCGTGCATTGGTCTTCTTCTTCAGATCGAACTCCAACTTTCTCTTTGTTTCAGTCTCTTTCTCTCACTAATCTGTAAGTAAATTTTGCTTCATCTTTCCATTCGATTTGTGTTGCTCTTCTTTTTCATTTTTGTTGTTACTAATATATTGGATCTTATTTCATTAAACTATAAGACCTGTTTTAATTTGCTGCCCTAAAAGTCCAAATCCCTAATTTTTCCTCATAGTGGGTCTATGTTATTGACTTGCAAATTTTATCCAAATACTGAAATTGATTTGATTGTGTTATTATTTTGATGAAATCAGGTTAAACAATTTAGTTATTAAAATACTATATGATTTGCTTTTGATAAGGTTTTCTATTTGGTTATTAAAAATTAGTTGGTAAACCCTGAAAATCGGTATTTGGATATGCTGGTTCTTTTGTTACAGGTTTTAGGATAGCTCTGTTTTGGTAAGCAGGATATGTTGCTATTTGGGTAGCTCTGTTTAAAGATATGTTCATTCTTTTACTACAGGGTTTTAATTCAAATTCGTTCTTATACTGGTTTATGGGACTGGGGATTTGAATTTGATAATTTTTGTTTTGGTAGGGGAAAGAAAATTTGGAAGTGTGATTCTAGGAACTAATTGCAATGTTTTAGCATAGTTGACTTGAAGAAGACTGGTTTGGGAAAAATGTGGGATTTGAAAATCTGACTTCTAAATTGGAATTCTGTTTGTGGACATTAGTGATGACGAGAAAGAATTCAAAAACATTAAAATTCATAATTTTTTTGTTTGTGGGTTTGATTTACCAAGCTGATTTTTGCCGATTTTTGTGTTGAATGGAAACTTATTGAAAACTAAAAAAGTTTGTATATCATAATTTCAGAATGCAGAGTTTGGTTCTATTGTTTTTTTCCTTTTCATGGGCTAATAATTTGGCCATGCTTCTACTCTTTGCAGTTGCTAGGGACTGGAATGGATACACAGGATACATCTCCTTTAGTGTTGCTATTCTTTGACAAGCAAAGATTTATATTTAATGCTGGAGAGGTAAGGAACTCAATTACATACATTTACATCTGGTTAGTTTTGTAATATTAAAAGTAAGGTGATGATTCAATTATTGTCTATGAAATAGTAATTATAAACCTGTTAAGTAATATATGTAAGACAAATCTTGTCTTAGTCCACATAAGGTGATCTTCTAATCCTAAGAGGATTCGGTTTTCTTAGTTGATCAGGAAACAAAACTTAGTCTTCTATCTAAACACTTATATAGAGTTTATTAAAGAAAACAAGTGTGAAGAGGATTCCTAGTATATTATGGATTGAACTTAACCTAATCTAAATGCAACAAGGACACACGATTACTTCTTGATAGGCAAGGTATCGATGTGATGCATATATATAAATAGAGGTCCCTTCCCTTGCAGCAATCATCTCAAACACAGACCTCACCCTATCTAAGAGACAAGAGAATAAAGGCTGCATAGGTGAAGAAGACAATCTATTCAATTACCATGGCTGAACACGGTTAGTATTATTAAATAAAAGCTTAGTAAGGACTTACAATATAGTGTCTCTTACTTTGCAACTCTCAGTGCACGGATTGCAACGGTTCTGCACAGAGCAAAAGATTAAGTTATCAAAGGTATAAGATATCTGAGATCCTTACCCATTAGGTAGTTAAGACCAAAAGTGGGGCTCTATATATACGCCTGGTGGTTAGCAAGAGAGAGTGAATGGTTTTAAAGGGTGTCAATGGCCTTTGAATTTTACTTATATAAGATTAAAGTTTTGTGCTTTCAAGTATTTGTGAGCTCTCTGTATCTGGGTTTTGAGCAAAATGACTTTATTGATAAAGCTTTGATTTGCAATGTATATTAATGGAGTAATAGGAACTGCTGACTGATGCAGCATGTCCTTGGTTAATGCATTTATGTTTGCTCTACACAAATGATAATTTTTAAGGAGAAATGGAGACTTAAAGAGAGAAGTTATGGATCTGATAAGGGTTTAGGGTTTACTATCTCTAATTTTTGGATCCTAATGGAATTTCTTTGATCACATATGCTGTTTCTCGAAAGCATTTAGATTTGATGGGTTTGATGTGAATGGTATGAATCTCTCTCTCTCATTTTGGTTTGGGATTTTTGATTTATTTGTGAATTAATTTTGTTGGGTTCAATGAAATTATCAGCTAGCTGCAGTTGACTTGGTGTAAATCATGTATTTGGTCTACTTACATTCTTTATCGTATCTGCCCAAAAAAAAAGTTCTTTATGGTAATTTATAAAGTATTTTGATTCTGTTTTCTGGCGTTTTCCTTTGTTTCTCCAACTAATAGATGTAGGGGTTTTCCTTTGTTTTTGGTTCACCAAATGGTTTTCATCTATTCTAATTTTCTAATTTTTTATATGAGATGTGCAGTTGTTGCGGCTCTTAATCCTTCAATGTTCTTCATCTTACTTGCTAAAGTCGAAAGTTCACATTACTTCGGTTGTTTTTGGGTCTTCCTGCTAACTACTTAGAACATGCATTTTAAGTTCAATTTTTGTTGGCTTGGCGTTTCCCTTTTTTAAGAATCTATTTCAACGAAGGCATTCAAGTTATATTGCTTAGTTATTTGGAGTTCACAGCAAGACATTCCATTTGTGTTCATTAAATGTCAAACTGCATAAAATAAGTAAGATTCATGGTTTTAAAAAAATGGGACAAGGTTTTGCAATCATTAAGGATCTTACTGTTATTGGAATAGCTTCAAGTGATCAAGGCTCCAAAAAGGAGTAACATACATTTGGAAAGGTGTTCTCCCATGATCCTACGGTTGTGTCTGCAATTTTTGTTGGCTTGGCATTTCCATTTTGTGCTTTAAGTTTAATTGAACGAAGTGCTGATTTACTTAAATCTGAATCTGCGTGTAGAATGGAACCTTCGATGAGGTGAAGAAGATTGTGAAAATACTCAATGAGGGACAGGTGCCATCACAAGATGTTGTGGGTGAGTTTGTTCTTCTTCTGATTTGGATTTGATTTGCAAATTTTTTTCTACTTCAGTGCTCTTGTTTATCTTTATGAGACTCTGCCTTCAAGTCTAAATTTATGCCAATATTCCTGAACTTATGAGATTGACATATTTGTACTTCTTCTATAATTGGTAGTGATCTATATGAGTTATCAAACTGTTAATTTGTTTTTTGGGTTGTTCTTATTTTAGAGGTTGTGGTGAGCCCACCATATGTGTTTCTTCCCCTTTGCCTCGTCCCTGTGGGCTAAGCTATCCCGGGAGACGGGGATAACTTGGGGAAACTTTGCAACCTGTAGTGAGGTGTTGGAAGCCAGGTTCAGATTCTTTGGTGGGAGGAGGAAGGGTTTAGTGTTGGGAAACTGTGCCATGATGGCAATTTTCTGGCAAATATGGGGGGAAAGGAATAGGAGAATTTTTGAGAATGTGATGGGGGACGAGGTAGAGATGATATGGGATCGTATCCGAGTCTGGGCATCTCTTTGGGCCTCTGTTTCTGTAGAATTTAAGGATATCAGCTTTCAGCTTATCCACCTAGATTGGAAAGCAGTAGTGTTGTAGTGCAGAGCTTTTTCTTTCTGTTTTGTAAGATGGCCTCCTTGGCCATCTCGTGTTTTTCGCTCTTCCTATTTGAATAATACTGTTTCTTTTCAAAAAAAAGAAATGTATGTAAACCAAATGTTTCCCTTTTTAGCAATGGGCTTTGGTAGGTTTTACTTTAGTTGTAGAAAACCGTTTTGACATTGAATAATATGAGTTTTGGCTTTTAACTGTCTCTTTAGTCGATGGTGGAAGTTGTTCTTAACTGTCTCAATGCATTTTTATGGACGTGTTTATCTAATATTTCTGAGGGTGGGGGGAGTTAAAGATAGATTGATAATAAAAAAACAAATATATATAGAGCATATTAATTGAGATACTCCATGTTGTGTGGCACTGGACTTGACTTAAAATAGACAAGAATAATCATTTGTGTTGATTATTTTGTTGTTTTTGCTGCTTTTGAATCGCTTTACAGTACTTCTAGGTTTTCTTTTTCTTTTTCTTTTTTTAAAACTTTCATGGTTTTCTTTTGTTTGTTGTAAAGTAAAACAGAAGTAGAAAAATAAAGGAAAGAAGATTGTGGCTTTTGATTCAATTGGTTGATGATTTTGTTTTGGATTTGGATTGTTTGGAGGATTTTCGCCATATTTTACCTTAATGAATAATGATGTTCCTATTTATGGATCCTTTTGTAGGAATGTAGTTTGTGATTAAAAATTTTGGGGTCCAAACAAGGAATCGATTTTTCATGAGCTTGATCAACAATAAGTAAATATTTTGCCCCTAAATTTTTTTGAATGGCTATACTTTAGGGGTTCACGGCTCTTTGGATGATGGTTTTAAATAGGAAAAAATGTGGGATTGATGGGTTGAAGTTTTTGGGCAAAAACAGTATGGATTTGGGGTTTCTCATTACAAGCGATGGTCTTTTTAGTTGTTTAGTCTGTTGTCACTAGATATTCTGTTTTCTTCTGTCTCTGTTTGTTTTTGTTTTCCAGGATTTTTCTTTTGTTTTAGTAATGGACTAACAAATTTTAAGCATCTCATATAAAAACACTGCACAGAAAAACATATTTGGACAGTTTTGGGACTAGAAAATCAGAAATTGCAATTTTTTCAATTTTTTCTTGCTTTTTCTCCTCTTCTCTCTAAACCATATCTGCTTTTCATGTTTTGTAGGTGGGGTTTTGCTGTTTTAGATAGAGCTGTTTGGTGGTTGTTCTTGGTTCTGTTAAGCAAGAGGTACATTTCTATGTTGAAATTCCAATTCATTGTTTCGAGTCTGTGAATAAAGCATGATAATTAGCTAATGGTATCAATTGACAATTGGTTAGGATAAATTTGAACTAATTGTTACGGTTGCACAGCTGTAAATAAAGCCAAGTAATTCTTATGTGGTTTGAACCAATGACAAGCTGTTTCATGTATGATCTGTACTTAGATACATATTAATATTTTGACTCTTTCCTTTTAGTTTACAGAAGATATGATGTATTTGGAGGGGTTGTTGATAAGAGTGATAACAACATGATACTGCTTTTGATTATATATTAATGCCTTTTCGTGTACTGAAGTTTTTTGAATTTTTTTGTTTTTTTTTAGAGAGCTTTTTTAACATGAAAAAGGACATGGAGTCGTTATAAACTGCCTTTGGTTTCATTTGATTGATGTTTTAGGTTGATTTTCAGACATATATGTTTGGTACAAAATTGGAGCTTGATCGTTAGATTGTTAGAAGAGACTGAGAAAACTCAATTATTGAATTAGAGTATGAAATTTTGATCTCTGTTTAAGGGGAAAAAGGGAAAAACAGACAAATGGAACTGAAAAATATAAAAAAATCTTCATTGTTTAGGGTGACTTTTGCATAGGTAACTTTTGATCGTATACTCTTTGTTTCAAATCCATCTAGGGTCATTTAAACAGCCCTTCACTTCACTGCTCTTTCTTCTTTCCTCTCTCTCCTCTTTCCTCCTCTTCTACTCAAGAACTTAAAAAAGTCCCTATGAGGATTATGTTTATCTTTCCTTTGCTTTAAAAGGAGATATAGGTAGAAAGGAACACCAAGCCACTTAAAAAATTGCTGAGCTTCAAAGCACCTTCAACAAACCCAGAATTGTATTCCTACTCTTCCTTCTATTTCAGGTCTACTTATTGTTCTCTCTCTCTCTCTCTCTCTCTCTGTGCTACGTCTTGAAACAGAGTATTTAAGAACTGTCAACAAACTCCAACACTCTCTTTCCTCTAATAATAATACAGACTGTGTCAATCCCATTAAAATTTTTTAAAAACCATTGCTGTGTGAGAATGTCTTAGAGACTCCAAAGTTACCACAACAACGTTTGGTTGACTCATGATTCCACAAAGCTAATTTGTATATTGGCTAAGATATTTGGTAGCAATATTGAGCTAGAAAACAATATAAATGTCAAACAGCAAAAAAATAAAATAATAATGAGTGTAAAGCTGCCGTTAACCCCATAAGCTCAAACTCAAATAAGTTTACCAAAATAGACGTCTTTTTGAAGAATAGAAGGAAGCATTTGATTCAAAACACCCGTTAAAAAATTTAAATATGCTACTACGTTATTTACACATCATCGATAAATAGATTATTAAGTTTTAAAAAAAAGTCTGTCACAAAATTTAATCAACAAATCATAAACCCTAAATTCCAACAAATCAAATAATCATATATAGTCATCTATAATCATTTTGCTTCGTTTCTTAATTTGATGGCCTTAATTGATTACAAATTTTCAACCAAATGTCTCAACTATATATACCAGTTCAACAACGCTTCACATTAGTATATACATACTATTTTATCTTTATAAAATGAAGTCAATTTGTTAATAAAATAATAAATATTTTTCATTTATGAGACTGTTTATACAAAACTAAATTTATGTTGATGTTAAAAATAGGAACACTGTTTTAAATAATGATAAAAAAATTTCTTACCTCTTTACTTTTCTCATCTTATAATCAAGGATAATCTGATGATCTATTTGTTATCTTGCCGCATGTACAAAAATGTTATATTTAAGTTCTTTGTTATCTTCTCCATCTTACTTGCTAAAGTTGAAAGTTCACATTACTTTGGTTGTTTTTGGGTCTTCCGGCTAACTACTTAGAACATGCATTTTAAGTTCAATTTTTGTTGGCCTGGCATTTCCATTTTTTAAGAATCTATTTCAACGAAGGCATTCAAGTTATATTGCTCAGTTATTTGGAGTTCACAGCAAGACATTCCATTTGAGTTCATTAAATGTCAAACTGCATAAAATAAGTAAGATTCATGGTTTTAAAAAAATTGGACAAGGTTTTGCAATCATTAAGGATCTTACTGTTATTGGAATAGCTTCAAGAGATCAAGGTTCCAAAAAGGAGTAACATACATTTGGAAAGGTGTTCACCCATGATCCTACGGCTGTGTCTGCAATTTTTGTTGGCTTGGCATTTCCCTTTTTTCTAATCATGCCTACCAAATGATTGTTCTGATATGAGGATTAAGGGTGCAATAAATTATTTCTTTTTATACCACTGAAGTTGGGATTTTTGAAGAAAAAGAACTATATCTTCATTTTGCAGTTTCAACCATTTTGGATTTTAACTGTCTTTATGAAGATGTTGATTCTTTCTTATATTCATGTCACAAATCAGTGGCATGCTCCTCAAGAGTTTTTTTTTCATTATTATTTTACGTGCTTATTCTCCTTGAATATTTAAGCTCAAAATAGTTAGACTGCCATCTGAAATTTTATTAATTGAGTTGTGTGTCTTCTGGATATTGTTAGCAAAGTAAAACAAATTAACAAATTTCCTTTTCTCTCCATCTCTGCTTGCTTACCTAAATTGCATTTGTTTTTTTGGCATCCGCATATTGTTTCACTTTAGTTTATGATTTTTTAAAGCATGAACATGATGAACATGACTTGCAAGACACCCTGCACTTCCTTTTTTTTCTTAGGTAATGCTCTGATTTCAGTTCTGGGTTTCATGAATGTCTAATCATGTTTTCCTTTGTACTTGGATTTCACTGTGCATTTCATATTAGTTTTTGGTTGTATGGGTTCAATTTAAGTTTCATGCTTCATGATGTGTAATGTTAGAATTCTTTTGTAGTTACACTATTAGAATCCTGAAATTTAAGTATTTGCTTCAAGTTGGTTGGTTGGTTGTATTTTGAGGGTACTTCATTCTATTTACTGTTTATTTCTTTTTTTCAGTATGAATCACAGTTAGGCAGTCATCCAATTGCTTCAGGTATGACTTATGAAAATTAAAAAGTTATTCAAATCTACATGTCTTATTGAAACTTTGGAATTTTATCTCAACAGATTCAATGGTCTCTCACCTCCCTGACGTATAAGCAATCACTGAAGCAAAGAAGCGAAAATAACTTTCAGGTTAATGTTTCTTCATTTTGATTTATTGACATTTTTTTTTCTTTTGTGTTGCCTCAAAATTCCTTCACAAAATTCGACTTGGCTCTACTACTACGTGTTTTCTACTCTCTTTCCTTCTGTTTTTCCCCCTTGATTTAATCTCAGGCTTCCATGAAATTTGATTGTTTCAGGAGAGCTTGGGTACGAAATCCAAATACGAGAAGCAGTCGTTCACCCAAATTGTTTAACCATTCTTCGCTTTAAAGTTATAATTCATGATTGCCTCTCTATTCCTTATACTCTTACTATTTTTTTGGTACTGATTTCTTTATTTTTGTAATGTTTGTTTGCTCATCATTTCTGCATTTTCATGTTTGTATATTTCTTTTCTTCCACAACTTTATACACATTTTACGTAATTTCATAACCCGTAGCACCGCGCGGGTCCTTTTGCTAGTGAATTTCTATTGCTAATGATCAAGTGCTATGCCATAAACGGTCTCCCTCATTCTATATATAAATCTCTCTCTCTCTCTCTCTCTCTCTCTCTCTCTCTCTCTCTCTCAAATAGTAAAAGCTGACTTCGTCAAGTGAATGTTAAGTTTTTTATTTTTTTGGAATATCATCTGCAGGACCGTATTGATAAACTGTACAGTGAAGCAAAGGAAGCAAGGGTATGACAGCAATGTCGAAAGCCGGAAGCTACTGGAGAAAACCTTTTTACCACAATTTCCCAAAGATGTGATTGCTGATAGTGGGCAGGTGCTACCCACAAAGACTCTGGATTCGGATCCCTGTGAGTCCATCCAAGTTAGTTTGTGTATAAATAAAGATAATATGAAAAGTTCTGGTTTGAGAAACCATATATATATTGGTCCCAATGTCAGTTATTTGTGCTTGCAAATACACACAGAATTGATATATGTGTATTCACTCTTTCAGTATGAATGTCAGATATATTGGACCAGAAATGATTTGCTCCCCAAACCATTTGTATGGAAGTTAAAGACAATAAAGAATTAATGGCTACCAATGTAAAATAATCTTTGTGGCTTTCTTAGTTGTCTTTATCATCAACAAATCCACCCAAAAAGAAAAAGAAAAAGTTGCCAACAAGGAGGTTTGAACTCCCGTGGTACCTTGTTAGTGTGTGCGCAAAATCTCCGCTCCCCTTATATCTTGACTATCGCTTGTATTCAAAAAAGAAAAAAAAAAGTTTAAAGTAAAATTAAAGGACAACACTGAAACACACCAATTACTACGCGTATGAGCTTTTGGGTAGAATATTTTCAGATATATTTCATTCTCCGAAATGAGGTATTTATAATACAGGTTACAAACCCTAGTAGGGTTTAATTAGGAAATAAGTGGAATCCTAATTACATAATATCTATACAAAAGGAAAAATAAATAAAACCAAAATATAATAGATGGTATCCTAATTACATAATATTTATACAAAGAGAAATAAATAAAACACTATCCTAATAGAATAGGGATATCTCGCTAACACTCCCCCTCAAGTTGGAGCAAAGACGTCACGCATGCCCAACTTGTCAAGCGAGTTCAGGAAGATGCTTGTAGAAACAGCTTTCATAAGAACATCAGCTAACTGATACTCTGAACGGATGAAGGGGAATGACACAATCTCCACATCCAACTTTTCTTTAATGAAATTTCGATCAACCTCCACATGTTTTGTACTGTCATGTTGTACAGGATTATGAGCAATTGCAATCGCAGCCGTATTGTCACAATATAAATCCATGGGTTTATTAGGCCAAAACCAAGGTCTTTCAACAATCTCCTCAACCATAGTAACTCAGATACACCATGGGCCATTCCCCGATACTCGGCCTCAGCACTAGATCTAGACACCACCTTTTGTTTCTTGCTCCTCCACGTAACAAGATTGCCACCCACAAACATAAAATACCCAGATGTCGAACGCCTATCTGTGGCTGAACCTGCCC